TTTTTTTTTTTTTTTTTTTTTTTGAAGGAAACGATGGAGACTTCAATGCATAGAGATGGAGGAAGTGCATCAAATTACAACAAAATTACATTTGACACCTCCAATGGATCGAAGATGAAGTCAAAGTCAAAGGGCAAAGAAGTAAATGTGATTGGTTCTCGAGCTGAGCCCAAACCTGAACCTGAAAATGAGGACGAAAGAGATGATATCGACCTGGATTTGAAGCTCTAGTCGTCACGTTTTTTGTGAAAAAAAAATATGCACACATAGCAAGTTGTTCTAGCAGTACCTGCGATTGGCTCCCAAGGTAAATCCAAAACCTGAACCCGAAAATGCGGACGAATGAGCTGACATCTACCTTGATTTGAAGCTCTACTCGTCACGTTTTTTGTAACGAAAAAATATGCACACATAGAAAGTTGTTCTTGTAGTAATTGTGATTGGCTCCCAAGGTAAATCCAAAACCTGAACCCGAAAATGAGGATGCATGAGTTGACATCGGCCCTGATTTTAAGCTCTAGTTGTCAAGCTTTTTGTAACGAAGAATATGCACAGATAGAAAGTTGTTCAGTACTCAATTTCCGTTTTACTTTTAGCTTTGGATAACTCCATTCAGAGAATTGTTTCATATTACTTTAAGTAGGTAGGTAAGTCCGGATAATATTTTTAATTAAAATTACATTACCGACATTAAATTAAAAGATCGGTTACCATTTTTAAAGTCAATGGTTCAATCTTTTCTTTATTAAAATATATATATATATATAGTGAGATTGGTAAAAGAGAAAAAGAAAATTCACATAAATTAAAATTTGTATTAAATTACTACTAATAATTCGACCAAAAATATAAATTTGAAACTATTTTTAAAATATTTATTTTTGTAAAAGTAATTAAAAAAAAGATATTTACGAATATAAATTTTTTAAAAAATCATTTATGATCCACTTTAATAATTAATTTGCACAATCAACAATTCAATTCGTTGTAATAATTCCAATATCTTTTATTTAATTATTTTTATTTTGTAATTATTGAATAACTAATTAAACTAAAATTATCTTACAATATCATATTATCCATTGATTTATGTTATAATTTTTACTATATATTTACATTTTTTAACTAATAATTTTGTAAAATTTTATTAGGGTTAAAAATTAATTTTAATTCTTTAATTTTCTTGAAACTAACCATATACTCTCTAATTTTTAGCCTATTATGTACTTATAAAAATCTATATATATATATATATATATATATATATAATATTTATTTATTTATTGATTTATTATTATATTAAAAAATAAATTAGTTAATTTTGAGACTCTAATTTAATTAAACTAAAGACTATTAAAGATTATATTGAAGAATGAAAATTTTAAAATATCTATTTTATTTTAAGAATAATAAAGTGGAAAACCCAATCCACACACATGGACGGATCTTTTGGCCCAACTTTATCCTAGTTTTGAGCAACCCCATTTGTATGAATCGATATTATTACATTCCAACTTCTTCTCGATACCTCCCAAGAAAAATTTCGAATTGGATCCAAGATTGACGGGTCTATCGTTGAGGAAGAGGTAGATGTGGTGTTCAAAATGGAGGACAAAGTGGTCACAGTAACCACTCGACAAGGACGGATGGAGTCAAAGAAGACTTCTCCGTACCCATTGCATATCTTAGTATTAGTAAAATTTATTTATTTATTATTGGGTTAAATTGGAATTTTATTCTTATAATTTTAAAAATTAGAATTCATTCGAATTTATAAAAACTTATAATTGGACAAAACCCATATTATGATATTTCTAACAAATTAGAGAGAATAATTCCATCATTTAAAGTCATAGAAATTGAATGATAATTTTCTTGAAACTATAGGGACCGATTTGCAATTTAATCAAAATTTTGGATATCACCATTTCTGTATAAGTTTTAAAAATTTTGATGACTACTCTTAGAAGACTTCAAATCTGCCAAAATATTGGTGGTTAAGTGTAGAAGATAAATAAAGGATCAGTGAGGCATATGAGTGAGCTGCCTGTACTGGTAAAAATGGGGAGCAGCCTCGGTTAACCATCCCGGATCAATGGTGATGATATTACGCATATATTGTCGGTCTGTCGACACAAGCGAATGATATATCACCCACTTTGGATTAACTCTGCAACACAACCAACACGAGTTCTTCGATCAATAATATATACCCGTCAAGCCTAACAGCCTACGCTTAGACTTTGTTCGAACTAACCTGAATAACACTGAAGAGGGATGAATATAAACTTCTTGAGAACCTCTGATACTCTTGTACATCCCATTGTGACTGTATGCCTACACACCACCAAATTTATCAGCTTTTATGGAAGGAACCACTTTATCAACTATGGATATTTACTAGATTAGTTTCTTGACAGATAAATGATTTTCATATGAACTTGTCAGAAGGAGAGATAAACTGCCACCCCATGATTACAAGAAGAAAAGAGAACACAAAAATTTGAACGGTTAGGATCGCACAACAATGCACACGCATGATCTAGATGAACACAAAGAACATGAGAGAGAAAATCAAGAGAAAGATTGGCTAAAGGTTTATATCGACAACTTCATGTATAGAATGCAAATATAACATCTTTCGGGTATATACAAAGAGAATACAAAGAAGGCAGAAAATACATCTTTCAGGTATGTGCAAGAAAGTACACCAAATACATCTTTCGGGTATATACAGGAAAGTACATCTTTCAAGTATGTACAAGGAGACTACAGAGAATGCAGAAAATACATCTTTCGAGTATGTGCAAAGAAAATACAGAGAAGGCAGAAAGTACAACTTTCAGGTATGTACAGAGAGCATATTTCAAAGCATGGCCGAAGAAGTATATATATGGTTTGAGTTTAGTATATATAGTTTTACCAGATATATATCACTATCTTCCATAAATAAATATATATATATATATATATAGTTTTACTGACTATAAGAATAATCTATAAATAAGTTACCGGCTCCAATAATCCAAATAAGTAGCACCAATAATCTACATAAGTATAAGAATAATCTATAAATAAGTTACCGGCTCCAATAATCCAAATAAGTAGCACCAATAATCTACATAAGTAGCAGGCTCCATAACCCTATGAATGAGTAGCAAATTAACTCTATGAATGAGTAGCAAATTAGTAACGGGAAATTGCTCACCTCTAATTGACACGCATTGGCGAAAAATCCAGCAGTAACTGCCTTGCGTATAACCTGTTGGAAGGAAAAAAGAGTATATTTCAAACAGAAATTGTGAGCTCTGATGGAATTATAAGTACAAAAGACAGGATTGGGGAGCAACATGCTCAACAGATGAGCTTGAGCTAAATACCTTTCAAAATGAACAAATCAATATAAAGGGGATGGTAAATGTAGGCCAAAGATTTACCGTAGTATCTCTTTCACATGATTTCAAGACGATGCCTAATCTCTGCGCTATTCTTCTCAGTTGTTCTCTAACTTCCATTACTTTTTTCTGCATACAAATTGAAGTTCATAACTACTATGACAAACATTTGTGGCAATACGTACGAGTCGGACTACAGATCTCAAGCTCCCTCTATTTTGGGTTGGGGATAGTCGGTGAATACACTGCACATCGAAGACGATGAAATGCACAAAGAAATATTTTGTACGCTTACACGTATGACTTTAAATGCATACCATAGCTTGGTAATTGATAAAATTCTTGTGACACCACTGTGAAGATTTATTAGACTGAAGAAATCCTTTGTACACATTAAGAAAGGTCACATGATCGCCCTGCATACATCAAGATAATTAGTCATAAGTCATTAACTGGATGTGTTCATCGGTATTTAATATATCGCAAAAGAAACTTCTTTACAACTCTTAGCACGACATCGACTTGCTTTTCAAGCTAGGACTGGTCTATGAAATACTAATCTAGCTGACATGAATTGATGAATACATCATGATCAGGGTAGACTTAGACAAGTACCTCAGCTGCAGCAAATTGCAACCTTGCTTCATCAAGTTCCTTCTGTGCTCCCCTACTAGAAGTCCAAATAGACTGCCAAATGACATTTTAATTGTAAAACAATGCTATGCCATAAGAACATCACATAAAACAGAAAAATAGTAATGCAAACAATAAATGGTAAGCAAGAGAAAAATCTGAACCCGACAAATTCATGTTGTCTCCTTAAAAAAAATTTACAATTCTGAGGCCTTTAACAGCTAAACACCTTTATTGCCTAATTTCTCGGCATGAGCTTGAAGATCATTTTTGGGGCATGCTAAGATATAAGGACTTGCCTGGATTGACAGAACAGCGGCAATTGTAATGATCTCCTCCGAGCATCCAAGGTCACCAGAAGCTAAGATCATTTTTGAGATCATTGGCTCCTGAAATTTGTTTTGAAATGGGAACACATATTCAATAATATAGTATACCCGTACTATCACATTTAATAATTTCATCCCTCTTAATGAAAATGGTTTTCTTAGCAATATCAACAGATAGATAGATAAATAGATACATACATACTTTAACAAACTTTAGTGAACAAATGAGCAGACAAAAGAACCATAAAAAATACGTATTAGATTGCCGTTAATGATTGAAATTTCGAGCTATATTATTAATGTACATGACTGCAAGCGACGTACAAGTGGAATTTCAGCAACTTGAAACCCAACTGGCGAAGTAAGCTTTGCATCATCATCCAAGACTCCAAGTGAATAAAGAACTTCTAATGCCCGAATCATTACTTCAGGAGATGGAGGTGATGGCCAATCAAAGCCTAGAATATTATCAATTCCCAAGGCTTTCAACTGAGATAATAATTCAAGATTAGCATCTTAACAGAGCAGAAAAACAATATTTAAGTCGAACTAAGTGGAAAAAAATCACTGCATTTGTTTGAGCTTTATGTATAGTAGTATCAGGTATAAACAGAGCATGAATTCAATTAGTACATGGTAACCAATAGGCTAAACAAAAATAAAGTGAACTATCCACACTAGTTTGATCTAACTACAACAGAAAACTACTCCGAACAGATCGTGAAAATTAGATAATTAACTAACTAATGGATGGAACTCTTATAGGCAAAATGACACTGTTGAGATTAGAGCTTGAAATGCACAAATATAAGATGATGGATGGAGAACTTTTTGGCAAGGGTGCAAACATGTTGTATTCTAGTTACTCATTTTCCAATTAGAGGTTTATTTAGCAACCATTAACAACATTCATATCATTTTATAACTTCTAATATTTATCATTTTTCTTGTGATGAATAGCTGCATATTGCATATATATCTTCATCTTTTAGCAAGAAGAAACACCGTATGTCATTACAGCAATGAAAGTACAATAACAAAAACATTTACCTGAATGACACAGGTAACAAGATTTGATCTTTGCATTTCAGGAATACCCTCAGCAGGCATTTCATTGATGAAATACTCTTCAGTATACAGTCTGCATGAAGCCGGAAAAGTTGAATGAATAAGTTGTAACGGCAAGACAAGTATGCGAAAGGAAGTACTATAATAATCTATTCCATGCATTG